CGATTGCAATTGTGAATGTTTATTTCTAATAGCCACCTAACATTCAATTTATAAGAAGTGGGGCGTGGCCAAGAAGTGCCAGCCTCCATAAAACCGGAGCCTAAGCGGATCTTGTGGGTGGCACTTAGCACAGAGCTTTGTGCAGTTGCCTATGCTAAGCACGTGGCGAGAGCTCAGAGTTTATGTCGCCGACACGCCAGGACACAAAGAAAAATCCTTATAATAAACAGACGATGAGCGGAAAAATACCCTGCGTCTTGGTTGTTAAATTACATAGTGTAAGTAATTGAATAGCAGATACTAAGCTAGTCTGTATTTCATAGCTCAAGGCTTACATAACTATAAGATATCGAGAAATCGATATCTCTAACCATGGCTAACATAAAATACGGTGCAAATAGTCAACAAAAAAAGAATACAGTTATTAAATTATATTCTTCTAAAAATTGTGCTCTCGTTCCTTTTCTGCGTCTTCTGCTTAAGCTATCGTCACACTCACGTCACTATGGTAGACCTCATAGCCATCGTTAAGTATCGATATCTATGGAATATCGATAGATGTTTACTACAAAAAATACTATCATTATTAAAAGCTATGCCGATTAAGACATATAATAAAAATAAAAAAATAATTTAATAACTGTGAACTAGCAAATACCCTACAGCGTGAATTACTATAGCAGGTGAGTGTAAATAATGCCTGCGCTCCAGCAGGTGCTTTGAGCTAGGGTATAATCGCGCCAATTGAATTACAAGCTGTGCACGGACCTAGGCCATGAGCAGCAGCAGCAGCAGCAATGTGAATCAGAACAAATGCACAACTAATTAAAACCGGTCGATTTATGCGAAAGACTTTTCCCCTGACTACAGTTAAGTACTTTGGCACGTTTATGGATGCGCCCAGAAATGTGCTTTGAAAATTTGGCCACAGATTGAAAATGTTTGCCTCTGGCAGCAGCAACAAAGGCAGTTCGCTTATGCTTTCGCTTTGCGTTTGCGTTTGCTTTTGTTGAAATTTTGTTATGCCTGCCTCAGTCGAGTGTGGCCTGGCTTTGTGATAAAGACAATAAATCAGCTTGGATAATGTCAACAGGGAGCTGAGCGAGAGCCCACAAAGCACAAACACACACACACAAAAAAAAGCAGCCAGACAAACCCAAGAGTCGAGTTATTTTTAGTGCTGATGACTTTGAATTTTGCCAACGGATTCTAAACAGTTTGATGTGTTTTTAATGCCATGAGGATTATCGAGCTCTGCGTTAGGCAGATGATGATGAGTTCAAGCCGTCATTGCTGTTGCTGTTGCTGTTGCCATTTTGTTTGGCCAACTGCTTGGGGTTGGGTTTGTTCTGAGGGTTGGCTACACTCCAGCTATTGACAAACGATATCAACTTGCACTTTGTCACCAGCTTTGATGCTTCACGCATAGTGTTGACCCCGTCAGGGTGTTGTCAAATTAATTAACTGTTTTTGTCAGAGACGAACACATGGCATCTGCAGCACGGCTTCAAATTTAATTAATCTTGGACATTTGGCTCCACCATGTTCAACTTGTAAACGTCGCCAAGTTCTTTGACAACTTTTGTTTAGTTTTCAAAGCATTTTCGCCGAAACTACGAAACCCACAAAACATTGTCAAGGCAAACTCGATTTCCTGCCTCCCAGGACCCTACTTCACGCCAACCACAATAGCTCGACTATCTCCGACCGAGATCTTAACTACCCTGCGGCTGCTGTACAGCGGGATTCAAGTTTAAGTAGAGCTGTGTCTGTGGGCAATACGCAGTTGCGCCCATACAATTAGCTTGTAATGCTCGCAATTACATTACAGCCCATTTCCATGGTTGGCTTGGCGGTGTTTGGCATCTAGCGAACCAGAGCCGAAATATAAACAAGGCTAAGCTAACAATGACATAATTCTGTGCGTAGCACATGGCGCGTGGGAGCTAAGCAAAAAAATAAGACCCAAAAAAACACGTGAATATGCGGCATATGCGTTAAAATGATCTTATCGAAATAGCGGAAAAAATTAAAAGGCTGTGGCCGACATTGCAATGCTCTATTCGCACTACTTGTACAATCTGACTTGGAGTCTATAAGAATTAGCTGCAGTGAAGAGATATTCTATCTAATATGCATACTCAGTCTCATAGCTAATAGGCTCTCACTGGCTCTAAAACTCACAGGGCATCAAACAAACAAAAAAAGACAACCACTGAGTATACTAATCGCACGTGGCGCCTTTTGCGACAAGAGTGCTACAGTCTTTGCAGGCAATATTTTTTAATGCCGCTCACAGCTGTCGCCCACAGTGGACACTGGTCATTGAAGGACTTTATTTCTGTGCATGGGGATAAGCGCTTGAAAAACGCGCCGTCTGACCCGGGCAAAGAGGCAGACAAGTGCCGTCCTAAGTGGTCGGGTGTGAATGACGAGCAAGAGGTTACGGTAAGCCACCACACCGCCGCACCACGCGTGGCCGACACAATGGCAGGCATGGCATGGCATGGCATGCCGTTGACAGTGTGTTGAGCTTTGCGGTGGCGCTCATTTCTGACTGCACTTGCTCCAAGTTTTGACAAGGATTCCACAGCCAGACAAAAGCTGTGGCCAGCGAGGCAAAGAAAACAAAAAGGGAAAAGTGAATGAATCTCAATTCTGCAGCTATCGGGGCTATTGGAAAAATATTGATTTATTGTCTGAATGCTAATTTCACATATCAATGCAGCCCAACCGAAGCGAGAGACGAGCTTACAAAACACAATGCACACATCATTCAATATTGATTCGTCTATAAATCGGTCAATGTTAAAGATACTCAAGTATATCACAGAGTCTGGGCAAGTATCCATCTGGCACTAAGCGCATTTGCTTCTTCTGCCCTCTATCGCGTATCCTTTCCACTTTCTCCAATTCTGTGACACCGGATCCCACAAGAATTGACTGAAATCCATTATAATTGGCAAATTTTATATCTGTTTCAAGTCTGTAAAGGAACAAAGAATTTATATTATATGTTTTTTTCTATATAAAGTTTTTCTATTACGTATACATTAGATGAGCGCTCATAATCTGTCATAAGAATTACTAGAAGAAGAATTATTATTATTACAATAAGAGCTCAGAGATATTTGTCTGACTTTTTTTAATTAAGGTCTCCAGACTAAGATTGTCCTCAGACTTAATTAAACAAGACGAACCACATAATAAGAATCGTGTACAATAAACAGATATTAATTTCTAGATTTCTTACTTACGTGTCGCCGATCATCAGCGTAGTTGCTGGATTGATAGCTCCACTCTCGATGGGTTCTCGGACAATCCAGGGGTTTGGCTTGCCAAGAATGAGGGGTTTGCGTGAAGTTATGGTCTTAACTAGTGCTATCATGGCAGCCGCGCCGGCTAGAACACGATTATTGCCAATGGGATAGGCAGCATCCAAGCAACAGCCGAGGAACAGAATTTGAGGATTTCTCAAATAGTGACAGGCTCTAATAACGCTGCACATATTGAAACTGTCATCTCGGCCCACAACAACGGCGCCCACATCTTCGTCTACCTCCATCTCAAGCGCGAAATCCCGCATAGACTTTTCAATCTTCTCATTTCTGAATTGAAACGCACATATATTCACGTCTGACAGCTCCTCAATTATGCCGACCCCTCCCACAACGAAAACCTTCTGCTGAAAGTTCTTGCTGCTCAGAAAGCTGGCAACGGACTTCCCAGAGTTAAGCACGTGATCTTTATGCACATTAAAGCCGAAATCGCGAGCCTTTAGCCTAATGTTTTCGCTGCACAAGCACGAGTTGTTTGTCACAATAAACGTGTTGCGCCCAGTATCTTGAATTGCATTAAAGGCCTCAACTGACCCGTCAATAGCTTTGTCAAAGTGCCATAGCACACCATCAGCATCGCAGATAATAGTCTCAAAGCCGTTCAGCCATTGGCGCACCCGTTGGATGGATAGGGTAGTGAGGTTGGTGCAGGTCTGCTTGAACATGTTCGATCTGAAAAATAAACTAGTTACATTCAAATGAAATAAAAATTTGAATTTTTGAATTAATTATCTGCGAGCACTCGATAGGTAACAAATAGGAGTGCTCTTCTCTGGAGTACTATCCGTGGTAGGCACTAAGCCCCGACACATTTTGCACATTCAAACACATCGCCTATCAAAACAAGTAAGAGTGCTCTAGTCGAGACTGCTCGACTAGGAGATACCCATAGCTCTCCAATCTGGTATTCTAATCATTCTGCACTTCTTTTATGCACACATACATACACGTGCCTCCACACCTACGTCTACGAAGGCGCTCTGCTAACTACGCAGTAAGAAGCGACTGCGCTTGGGCAGCGCTGCTGTGTGAGCAACATTATGAGAATTTTTTTGTTCAATATATTGGAAATGTGTGCAGTCCAAAGCACAAGTCTCTAGTACTTTTCTTACGTTTTCTTGTTTGAATTAGAGGCGAAGGGGGCTGAAAAAAATCAATTTTTCAATTATTCTCGATAAAAACTTATCGGATGAGTTATCGAAAAAATAAACAAACTTGTACTGCGCATGGTATACACGAGTATGCATGCCAAATTCCAGCTCTCTAGCTTTTGTATCTTTTGAGATCAACGTCCTCATGTGGACGGACAGACGAACAGGGCTATATCGACTCAGCTCGTGGTCCTCATCAAGAATATATATACTTTTTGGGGTATGTGATGATTCCTTCTGCCCATTACATACTTTTTACAAGACCCTTAGACCCTGATTTCCCATTTTCAATGGGTTCAGGGTATGATTACATACATTTTAATAAAAAGGGTAATTTGATTCTTAATATTTATATGCTATGAAAAGTTTCGTTGGTTGAATTAATCAATGGAAAATCATATTCTCTTATGGGATCTACCGACCGCCTGCCACTTAAATTAAAAAGTAAAATGAGATATTCTAAAGATTTATCTACATTCAAGCAATAGACCACTCAATCTTGTGCTATGAGTAGAGTTTATCAGCTGTCAGTTTATTAACGGTGCACTGATTTCTCGTATTTTTGTTGAAGTCAACGATTTTTAGAAGGCAAAAACTTTAATAAGTCGGAAATACTAGGTAGGAAAAGATCGGGAATCTGACGGTACATCATTGGATCCTTGGACTTCTGCGCTTTCGACACATCGTCAAGGGTCGTGTTCCCAGAGCCCACCAGCAGAGTTTGAAAGCCGCAATTATAGCCGAACAGAATATCGGTGTATAAGCTACAAAATAAAATTAAATATATAGTTAGTTCAATCGAATGCCAAGCCATTGGTGCAGCATCTTACGTGTCGCCCACCATGAGGGTGCGCTCCGGCTTGATAATGCCCTCCCGCATCAGATGCAAACACATGAGGGCATTGGGCTTACCGCAGGTAAAGGGCGGACGATTGGCTATTGCCTGGACGGCTGAGACCATGCTGCCAGCGCCAGGAATAAAGAGGTCCGAGTTGACGGCAAGCGCTCGATCTTGGTTGGTGGCCAGGAAGATTACTTTTGGGTTACGCAAATAGCAGCATGCTTTCGTCAGCTTCACCACATCGAAATATTGATCAATGCCCACAGCTACAGCACCCACATCTGGATCCATGGGCATGTTTAACACTTGATCCCGCAGAGAAGCTCCCACCAAGGGGCGTTCCCTGATTGGTATAGATTCAATGCCCACATCTTTCAACTCATCAACGATGCCCTGACCCCCGATGATGTACACCTTTCTCTTAAATCCACGCTCCTTTAGGTAGTGGGCCAATGCCCAAGCTGACGAAATAATCTCATTCTTTTCTACGATAATTCCCAGTCTCTCGGCCTTGTCGAACAGTTGTTGCCGAGACCAAGCCGAGTGGTTGGTACAGATGAATGCCCGCTTCCCCATTGCCCGCAAGGCGTTGAATGTCTCCGGAGCTCCATCCACCGGATTGTCGAACCTCCAGAGGACGCCGTCCGCATCAAAGATCATGGCATCGAATGTTTTCATCCACTGCTGGATACTAAACTTGTTCAAGGCAAGCAGCTGACAGACACCCTTCTTGAACGGCATTCTGCAATCTGTTCTGTAGCGACTTCGTGTAGTAATATGGAACAATGAGTATTTTCTTTCAACGACTTGAATTTATTTCTGATTTGAATGGACAAAAAACCTGGGTTGCTATTTGTTGAGTAGGTGAAATGTACAATTTTACTTATACTTAGGCACTTTTAAGTTATTAAGTTAAGTTATTAAGTCAAAAACCTAATCGAATCGAAATATTATTTGATTTTAAATAGAGTCTATGGGAATTCACTTAATTACAAATGTTCTTTGTACCTCGACAGGGATCTGCATACTTATCCTCTGCGTGTTCTTGCAATTAAATATTGGTGCTGTTAAAGATGTGCACCTAATATTGGATTATAATTCCCAAGTGGCTAATGTCAATGTAAATGTCACTCACTTTGCAAATGGCGGCTGCTTTGGCACTCTGAGCAGTCTAAAGTGAACCGAGTTGACATCTTTGTCGCTGTCTTAGCATAAATGAAACTTTTCTGGCAATTCATCAGCGAGAAGTGGAGCTGAGTTGAATTTCCCAACTTGACTTTACAGACTTTACAGAGCAGCTTAGTGGCTGTTCGCACAACTTGAAATTAGTTGACAATACTCACCGAGGAATCAGGCAGCCAAGGCCACGGCTGACGCATTTAATTCACTAAACTTTGCGCATTTGTTACGAGTGCTTGGCCATTGCAGGCAGTGATGCGGTCCAGTTGCCTGCTGAGCACCGGCTCTGGCAGCGGCGCAACTTTTAATTGAGCGAAATGAAATGAGAATGCTCGACGTCCACTTGAAAGAATGGAGGAACACCGTGGACCAATTCTTCGGAGTTCTGTGTTGTCTAAATCGCCTTAGCGCCAGAGGCTGTCAGGTTCAGGCTCTCGCCCCGCGGCGCCAATTAAATTGGCGTTTGACTTGGGTGCTGGTCCTGCCGGGCACTCAAGTTGGCCACTTCCCCGAGTCGACACTTGCATTGTGTCACCTTTGGGCTTTATTCGTGAAAAGGTGTTTGCTTGCGGCTATTTGGCTATGGAATTCAAATAAATCTGCAGCAATTTAGCGGATTTTTGCCCGTCCGAATTGTGTCAAATCGCCGACGGCTATATCCCTTGTAAACCTTGGCCTACACCCATTTATTGCGACATTGCCGCAAAATTAACGAGACAAATTTCTAAGGCTATGTAACGGCAAAGCTTTTGCCTAAATAAGGCACATACAATTTTTATTTCAAGCATCAGCAAAGTATGCTATGAAAATGTTAAGCCTAGTTGTGACTGTGAGCCACAACCTGACCAACGCAGCAAGCTTCTTTAGATGAAGCACTGCAATTTTCTGTTTCAGCTAAAATTTAGTTATATACCTTTCATATAAATTAAATAAAGTTAAAATTTTTACATATGTGCTTTACATAAATAAGAGCAAGACGTGTTAGTTTCTTAAAAGTTGCATAGCTCGAGAACGGAAGGATAGACTTTGTATGATTTTTGTCATTATTGTACTTGTTTTTGTCCGAAATAGAATAAAGAAAGACCATAATTCGCGAAACGAATATTTATAATAATTGTTGATGTTCTTTGGATTTATAAAAACCAAATCGAGTAGAATAAGCCCAACAGCGAGATAATTCCTAGATTAATTGCAGCCGATGAAAGAAAAGTTTTTCCTAAAATCATCAAGTGATAGCGTTATATCAAAAATCTTTTGCTGACAACAAACATGAGAGTTTCATTGCTGAATGTGTCTAAAGACTTCTTTATGCCAATACTGATGGTCGGTAAGGGACGACGTGTCGAGCAGATTAGGTTGTTGATTCCTGCAAAATTCTGTAATTTTAAAGAAAAACTTGTTCTAAACATCATTTCCAAACACAGAACTTAAGCAATAGTACTCTGCTTTAACTCATATCTGATGTCTATAAAATACGAGCTGATAAATTTTGAAGTGTGCCTGTCTTACCACCGCTTAATTGCTGACTGACATTTGAGTCAAGTAGCAATGGATCGCAATTGATGAGAACTAAACTGATGAGAAATATAACTTAAAGGAAAATTCCGAAGTTTTAATAACTAACGGATATTCCATTTGAATTTAAATCACTTCAAATCGTAATACCTATTTAATTCGTTATAAACAAATTGCAAGGGCAATCCAATGTGTTTTTTAGGCCTGAAAAATGCTGGCACGGTCAATTGAAGGTTCAGGTTTACAAGTGGGAAAACCATCTGCTGTATTTTTGTATGCAACTGATTTCAACATGAAAAATGTATAAGGGTGCTTCATTTAGTCGCATTCAGAATTATTACAACACGCGTAATGCTGTGAAGGTCTGTTAAAATTGTATATAAATTGTTGGTTTTATAGAACACACACTCATGTTAATTATATGGAACGAGCGTTAATTAAGAGCCAGTTGAATGCTCGTATACCTACTTCAAAGCGCTTGAAAAAAAGCGAAAGCCCAAAGGTGTACTGAGAGTTTCGACTATACCCTTGGTTTGGGGATTGGGATTGGGAATAAAAACAGTATCGTACAGTGCACACCTTCTAACCAATCTAAAATAATATAAAATTCTACAATTCACATATGCCAAGATAGCTACCGAGTGAATATAAAAACAAAACCGAAAATTGTTTTTCATGTACCGCAGTGCTTTACCGGCTCTAGAAAAAAGAACAAAAAAGACAAACAAATTGGATTTAATACGAGCTCTAACATGAAAGCGAAATAGAATTTATTGATTTCCAGGTGTATGAGCACAGCCTGAATTTGAAGTAAATGCTAAAGCCAATATATGTGTGCTGCGAACTGTGAAGAGAACACTTGGTTAACAGGATTTTCAGCTAATTTCTTTAAGCAAATAGCTTTTATTTTCCGTTAGCATGATTTCCAAGCACCCTTCTTATGAAAACAATCTAACGGAAATTCGATGGCAGAAACTTAACTGAAATATCCAAAGTTTCTGCAGCCTATTCTGGAGGAGGCCCCCATGACTGCGTTGTCACATCCAAAACCCCCGAGGACATGGGCGAAAAGGCAAAAGTTTTTATTAGGTTTAACAAGAGCAGGCTAATTTGCTTGGCACTTGTGCTAATGCTCTGTGTCTCTAATTAATACCTTGAAACTTGGACGAAATATGACTTGATTTATATGCTAATTATAATTACTAATTACTGCATTGTAGCTCGCCTGGGGGAAAAGTACAATTCTTGACAAGATACAGATGAAATTCAAGTTTTACGCTAAACGATGGTCACTGGATCATCCACCTGTCACTTTGCACCGGCCGCTCCTCTGTCGTCAGCAAGAACAATGGCTTGCTGCTGAAATTATCAAACTGCCTCGCATTAATCTTGTGCACAGATACCATCATTACTTCAGCTGCTCCTCACATCCGCAAAGACACAAATCAGAGAGCCTCAAGCATGGATTGTTTGGAACGCCATTCCATGCGATTAAGTTGTCCATTTGGGCAGCTTGGCTTGTGCCAATCGGATGTAGATACGCTGTCTTGAGTGTTCGCCATATGACTTGATGGCGCTTATGCAGAACTGCGTTTTTTCCTGTTATTACTCACATAAAGAAGCATGTTTCCCAGTTTCCTTACCAGACAAACTACTTTCAGTATCATTTTCTAACATATATCAAAAATATTTTCTATATACATATGTAAATGTCATAACGAAACGACAACGCCAAGCTGATTCATTGGGATCAATAAACCCGCTCTAATGAATTTCAATGAATTAAAGTAAGAACGGCGCCGTCGGGCGTTACCACACAAAATCAACATTTAACCTTATCAAGTCTATATATTATAGAACAGCGTAAAGTATTATTCCGATTTAACTATACGTGTTTTGTTGCCTATTATCTATGGTATGTTCTCTGTCTCTCTGTCTGTCTATCGCACGGTCTGTATGTGCCTCTGTCAGGCAAACTATGAAAATCAAGGTATAAAAATAAGTTAACAAAGAGTATTTAAGTTGGCTATATGCATGCGGCAGTATTCGACTGCAACGACGCCTACCTAGCACGGCTCGGGCATTGAGTGAAAGTCCCCTATATAAATGGCTGCAGGTACAGCTGCAGTCTTCAATCAAGTATGATGGGAGTCAATCGTGATGCGCAGCAAAGTGCGGTGCAGTATGTGATCGATCAGCTAAGCATTAAAAATTTGGAGGAAATGCTTAAGTAAACCTTGAGGAAATATATTAAAAATCGAAAATCTATAAAATACACCCTAATATATATATGTATTTAAAATTTGGAGACTCTAGCTTAAAAGATTTAATTTTATATTGAACAAGTAAGAAGGCTCTAGTCGAGACTGCTCGACTAGGAGATACCCTGAACCCT